AAAAAATTGTGATATTGTGGCAAATATAAAATTTACCATCGAAACCATAAGCACTTTTTTTATTTATTTATTTATTTTTTTTTTTGGTTGCAGCCATCATTGTTGTTTGGCGGGCCCGGGCTAGATTCAAACCCGCCACCTTAGGTGTATGTGGCTGGCGCCCTAGCCCCTTGAGCCACAAGCACCGAGCCCCTCTTCTCCTTCCTTAATGGTAACTTTGCAGTTGGTGTGAGTGAGCTCTTTTTACCCACCAAATTCTTACATTCACTGTTTTCTTTCTCCAAACCTGAAATTCCATCTCCCTTCTGGTGCTGAGGGATTTGCCTTATCTGATGCTATTCCTCTTGTCTGACTTAGTTCAGTCTTTGCATTCTTTGAAAACTGCCCTTGCCTTCAGTGATCTCCTCTTTCTCCAAACTTCTGTAACCACCCACTGTTCCATTCTAGTGGCTCTAACATCTCCTCTGTCCCACACAGTAAAGGGACAGGATCTGCTTCTGGTGCACAGTGATGGGGGTTGGGGTGGGCTTTTCAGAATGGCAGCAGTTGGAAGGCATAGGTAACTGAAGTACATGTACAGTTAAAAACACACATTAAAACCTTAGGTTGATTCCGATGTGTATCATTACATACATTTCTCTTTTCAAATTGTGAAAACACAGGCAGTACCTTTGTGTCCATCAGTGAGCTTTTGTTGTGTATGTGTGCAGTGGGGGCAGCGTGGTGGGAGCACAGGATAAGGTTCACCATTTCCTCACACCTGTGGGCAAAGCTGTTTGTTGTGGCAGAGTTCATTGTAACTGCAGTTGGGATGAGAGAGCATCTGTATGCACTATCCTGTAATGTATACAGAAGAACACTGTAGCATAGGAAGCCCAGGTCAGTGTGTAGGTTAAGTAATGTAAAACTGTCTCCGGGAGAGGTTCAGTGAAACAGCACAGTGCAGAGCAGTAGATAGCTGCAGAGGAGGCCTGGATGTGCTCATGTGCTTAGACTTGCGCTCTCTCTGGAAGGATGCCCGAGTCAGTGGCCTCTCAGGAAGAGGGCCGAGGTACGAGGGAATCCAGGAGGGGAGGGGATGCATTTTGCACTGCATTCTTACTGGCACTACAATATCTGGCTACAACTTGGGACAGTAGAAGGAACACCAGCTTTGCAGTCAGATCAGTTTACTGGCTTCTGCACATAATGATTTGGGCTGAGTTACTCACTTTTCTGAAGCCTAATTTTCTCATATCGGATGTGGGAATGATAATACATATAGCTCAGATGTGTTGTAAGAATTAAGAATATGTGCTTAATGAGTTAGCACAGTGGTGGGCATACACAGGAGCTGTATAAATGATAATTTTATCTTAATTGGGCAACGGAGGCACTTGATTAAATCTTAAAATCCTTTCTTTCCCACATATACTGCAATTGGAGCATTCTTTTTTTTTTTTTTTTTTTTTTTGAGACAGAGTCTCACTATGTTGCCCTCTGGAGAATTCTGTGGCATCATGGCTCACAGTAACCTCAAACTCTTGGGCTTAAGAGATTCTCTTGCCTCAGCCTTCCAAGTAGCTGGGACTATAGGTGCCCGCCACAACACTGGATTTTTTTTGTTGTTGCAGTTGTCATTGTTTAGCGGGCCTGGGCTGGGTTTGAACTTGCCAGCCTTGGTGTATGTGGCCGGCACCCTAACCACTGAACTACAGGCGCCAAGCCAGTTTGGAGCATTCTTAACATTTCTGTGGAATGTTCCCCCCGCATGCTACAGTGGAACATACCTCCTTTGAGTGCTTTCTTGGCTCCTAGAGTATTTTTTAGTGAAATAACTTATTTTCTCCTTTCAATCTCATAAAATCTATTAAATACAAGTAGTGTCCATCTGTTCTTTGTCTTCCTACTTGTAAATAGGAATTTACTAATTTCTTTTGCATGTGTATGTTTATTACTCAGTATCTTATGTCGAATATTTATAATGTATATTATTTATTTGAGCAGATACTTACTTACCTGGCAGGAAAGCCACAATTTTAAAATGAGTTAGTAATTTGGACTACAAGTCAAAACTTGGTGATAATAGTAATCTTAGAACCTCTTATTCATGTAAATGTATTGTTTGGGTTTTGGGGGTAATGTTTCTATTTTCTTTTATGCCTCCCCCCCTTTTCTAGCTCTTTCAGTCTTGTATGGGAATGAAAACAACTGGTATGTCCTCACAAGCGCTTGATGATGAACAGAAAGTAAGTATATATTTTAAATAGATCTCACATTGTCCTCTGAATGCTTCTATGATTTAAAAATAACTACTCACTATGCTGATGGACTTTTGTAATAGAGTCTTCTGTTTGTACTTACCTTGAATGGGAATTAACTTTTCTGTTAATTCAAGTGCAAAATCGATTCTGGGTTGAATAATCATTGAGTGTCCATAATGTTCCTATCTTATTTGACATTAAGCATAATTTTTTAAAATTTATTTTTCATTTGTTATTTAGTTTCTTTTTAGTTCATTGTCTTTGACATTAAGCAAATTAAAACTCCTGAGTATTTCAGCAGGTTCATTAGAAACACTAGTACTGCTTTTGCTGAGTGCATTGCAGAACCTGGTGGATGCTTAGAACTCCTTTTAAGGATAGGGTATCAACCACAAGACTCCTGGAAGTCATCAAAAAATACAGTAATGTCTCAGGATATAAAATCAATGTCCACAAGCCAGTAGCCTTTGTATACTTCAGCAACCAAGATGAGAGGCTAATAAAGGACACAACTCTCTTTACCATAGCTTCAAAGAAAATGAAATACCTAGGAGTATACCTAACAAAAGAGGTAAAGGACCTCTAAAGAAATTATGAAACTCTAAGAAAGGAAATAACAGAGGATATTAACAAATGGAAGAACATACCATGCTCATTGCTGGGAATAATCAATATTGTTAAAATGTCTATACTTCTCAAAGCAATCTACTGATTCAATGCAATTCCTATTCAAATACCAATATCATACTTTCAAGACTTGGAAAAAATGATTTTTTTTTTTTTTATGGAACCACAAAAAAACCTGTATAGCGAAGGCAGTTCTTAGTAATAAAAACAAAGCCAGGGGCATCAGCATACCAGATTTTAGGCTGTACTACAAGGCCATAGTGGTCAAGACAGCATGGTACTGGCACAAAAATAGAGACATAGACATTTGGAATTGAATAGAAAACCAGGAAATGAAACTAACATCTTACAACCCCCTAATCTTCGATAAACCAAATAAGAACCCACACTGGGGGAAAGACTCCCTATTCAATAAGTGGTGCTGGGAGAACTGGATATCCACATGTAAAAGACTGAAACTGGACCCACACCTTTCTCCACTCACAAAAATTGCTTCCAAGATGGATAAAGGACTTTTAAATTTAAGGAATGAAATGATAAAAATCCTCAAAAAAAGCATAGGAAAAACACTGGAAGATATTGGCCTAGGGAAAGAATTCATCAAAAAGACCGTCGTGGCAATTGCCACAACAGAAATAAACAGATGAGACTTAATTAAACTGAAAAGCTTCTGTATAGCTAAGGAGACAACAACCAAAGCAAATAGACAGTCTACCCAATGGGAAAGGATATTTGCATATTTTGAATCAGTCAAAAGCTTGATAACTAGGATCTATAGAGAACTCAAATTAATCTACATGAAAAAAGTCAACAATCCCATATATCAATGGGCAAGAGACATGAATAGAACCTTCTCTAAAGAAGACAGATGAATGGCTAACAAACATATTAAAAAATGCTTCTCATCCCTAATTATTAGAGAAATACAAATCAAAACCACCCTGAGATACCATCTAACCTCAGCAAGAATGGCTCACATCACAAAGTCTCAAAACTGTAGATGCTGGCATGGATGTGGAAAGAAGGGAACACTTTTACACTGCTGGTGGGACTGCAAACTAATACAACCTTTTGGAAGGAAATGTGGAGAACCATCAAAGAACTCAAGCGAGACCTCCCATTTGATCCTGCAATCCCATTACTGGGCATCTACCCAGAAGGAAAAAAAAACCTTTTATCATAAGGACACGTGCACTAGACTGTTTATAGCAGCTCAATTTACAGTTGCCAAAATGTGGAAACAGCCTAAATGCCCACCAACCCAGAAATGGATTAACAAGCTGTGGTGTATGTATACCATGGAATACTATTCAACCATTAAAAAAACAGAGACTTTATATCCTTTGTATTAACCTGGATGGAAGTGGAACACATTATTCTTAGTAAAGCATCACAAGAATGAAGAAGCATGAATCCTATGTATTCAATTTTGATATGAGGATGATTAATGACCTATTACATGATGGGGGGTGGAGGAAGGGGAGAGCAGAGAAAGAAGGAGGGTAAAGGAAGAGTAGAGAGAGGGAAGGAGGGAGAAGGGGTCTTGGTGTGTGCCATACCTCTTGGGGGCAAGACACAATTGTAAGAAGAACTCTACCTAACAAATTCAACAGTGTAACCTAATTTCTTGTACCCTCAATGAATCCCCAACAATAAAAAAAGTAGTCAAATACACACACACACACACACACACACACACACACACAAAGGACAGGGTGTCAGGCAGCACTACCAGATACCTTCCTGATTCCATCCAGATTAGACCTGATGCTTCTAAGGGCCTTCTGAATGCTTCTGGTTAGCAAGGATGGCTTTTGTTAGTTCATATTAAGATTTACATTAAAAAAGAGGGAGTAAATTTAATTTGGTGATAGTGAACTTTTAATTTTAATGAAAAAGAAAATTACAAATATATACATGAATAATTCAGTAAGGTTAAATAATTTCCTTCAGTTTTGCGCTCCAATAACTATAGTCTTGTTTTTCCTTCTTCCTTCATGGATGACATGGTCTCCACAGTTTTGGTAAATGTTAATTTGACCATCAGGCTGCCATTATTTTTATCTTATTTTCTTTCACTAGGAGGAGTAGTCTCTTCCATCTGTATTTTATGACCTCACAGACTTTTTGAATTACAGTTAATCTGCCTTCTAGCTCATTGCTTTGCTGAGACTGCCTCTATAGGTACTAGTAATCTTCAGTGACAATCTACTCAGTGGCCGTTTCATAGTTTCATTTTCTCCAGCCTTTCAGCTGCATTAAATCATGGGACCACACCCTCATTTTTGAAAAGCTTCTTTTGTTCCTGTGACATTATAGAGCCAAAAAGGATCCTGGAAGCCATTTAGTTCAACTTTTATGTAATTAGTGTATGCTTATCAGATAAAAACTCTTGACAAGTGCTTTTCTTTTTTTTTTTTTTTTTTTGAGACAGAGCCTCAAGCTCTCCCCCTGGGTAGCGTGCCGTGGCATTACAGCTCACAGCAACCTCCAACTCCTGGGCTCAAGCGAGTCTCCTGCCTCCGCCTCCCAAGTAGCTGGGACCACAGGCGCCCACCACAACGCCCGGCTATTTTTTTTTTGGTTGCAGCCGTCATTGTTGTTTGGCGGGTCCAGGCTGGGGATTCGAACCCGCCACCTTAGGTGTACGTGGCTGGCGCCTTAGCCGGTTGAGCTATAGGCGCCGAGCCAACAAGTGCTTTTCTAATCTTGAACACTTATGACTGGGAAGTATAATGCTTCTCTTCACTCTTTTTTAAAAAAATCATAAAGATAACATGCTTACGTGAGTGAAGGGGATTCAAAGAGCATAAAAGAGAACATTGCCTTCTAGGTTTTTGTTGCTGTATAACAAGTCATCTGAATTTAACTGCTTCAAATAGTAGTTAAATTGTTACCTCACAGACCTATGAGTCAGAAAGCCAGGCATGGCCCATTTGGCTTCTCTGTTCCAGGTTTCCTGCTCAGGGGTCAACTGGCTGGCTTCTCATCTGGTAGTGCTCCTTCCAAACAGGTTTCTGGCAGAATTCAGTTCCTTGCTGGCTGGGGGTTGCTATCAGCTCTTAGGGACTGTACTTGGGTCCCTGCCACATGGTCCCCTCTATCCTAAAAGCCAGCAAGGAAGAATTGGCATGTGGAGTCCCCTTGATGCTTCCTATCTTTGGCTGGAAGTGCCTGGACCCTTTCAAGGGCCCACCTCATTAGGTCAGGCCCATCTTACCATCCTACCCCTCCTTTCTAAAGTTGACTGATTTGGGACCTTAATCACATCTGCACATCAGCAGCACCTGAGTTTGATTGAATAACTGGAACTATCAGTCTTAGGGACTGTGTCAGAAATTCCGCCCACCGTATTCTGTAAAAGCAATTATTTCTCCCCTCAACCTCAAGTCCACTCTTCAGTGGTAACCACTTTTAATAGTCTGTTACTACCCTCTGAGACATTTCCATCCATGTTCATATGTATGTAAGGATATGGAATGTTTGAAAAAAAAGTGTATTTTTTTTTACTCAGATTACAGTAATTACTGTAGATACCTAGCTTTTGATATTGTAGCATATAACAGTGGTATTCCATTGAGTAGACATACAGTAGTTTGTTTATCCATTCACCATTTATTGGACAGCCGGATTGTTTCTAGTTTTTGATTATTGGGAATAAAACTGCTGTCATTTGTGCATAAATTCTTATGTGGACATACTTTTTTGTTTATCCTGGGTACTTTGCAGTGAGATTTTATTGATTGTGTAGTAATGTATGTTTAACTTTATAAGAAACTGCTGAACTGTTTTCCAGTGTGGCTATACCATCTTGTGTTTGCACTAACAAATGTATTAGCATTCCAGTTCTTCATTATCCCCAACACTCGACATTGTCAGTCTTTTTATTTTAGCAGTTTTAGTGGATATTCAGTGTTATCAGTGTAGTTTTAATGCATATCTTCTTGTTAACTAAGTTTCTGTATGCTTCATTTGTTCTTTCATTTTCCTTGTCTTCTTTTGGATTAATAGAGTATTTTTATGATTCTAATTTACATTTACTATTGGCTTATTATCTATATCTGTATCTTTTATCTTTAAAAAAAAATAGAAATTGAGCTGGGCGTGGTGGCTCACGCCTGTAATCCCAGCATTGTGGGAGGCTGAGGAGGGAGGATTGCTCAAGCTCAGGAGTTTGAGACTCCCCTGAGCGAGAGTGAGACACTGACTCATGAAAAAAATGGAAAAACCCAGCTGGGTGCCGCGGCAAGTGCCTGTAATCCCAGCGGCTTCAAAGGGTGAGGCAGCAGGATACCCACAGCTGGAGTCTGGGTTGCAGTGAGCTCTGATGCCACTGCACTCTGCTCAGAGCACAGGGTAGAACTCTGTCTCCGCAAAAAAAAAAAAAAAAAAAAAAAGCAAGAAAAAAACCCAGAAATTGATTTAGGCCTCATCACACCCAACCTTCAGATAATAGTACTTTATGTATGCTATACAAACCTTCGTGGTGTACCTTCATTCTCCCTCTCATCTTTTGTGTTCCTCATACATTTTACATCAACACATAACCTATAATACATTGTTTTTACTATTGCTTTTATGCAATTATATTTTCAAAAGTTAAGCAAACATATATTGACCTACACATTTACCTTTCTGTTGATCTTCATTCCTTTATGTAGATCCATTGTCATTTTCCTTTCTCTTAAAGAACTTCTTTAAACATTCCTTACAAATATAGGTCAACTGACAATGGATTTGCCAGATTTTATCTGTCTGAAGATGTCTTTTTTTTTTTTTTGAGACAGAGTCTCATTTTATCACCCTTGGTAGAGTGCTGTGGTATCATAGCTCACAACAACCTCAAACTCTTGGGCTCAAGCAATTCTCTTGCCTTAGCCTTCTGAGTAGCTGGGGCTGCAGGTGACTGCCACAACAGCTAGCTATTTTTTAGAGATGGGCATCTTGCTCTGGCTCAGGCTGGTCTCGAACCTGTGAGCTTAGGCAATCCACCAGCTTCGGTCTCCCAGAGTGCTGGAACTACAGGCATGAGCCACTGTGCCTGACCCTTGAAGATGTCTTTATTTTGCTTTCCTTTAAAAAAAACTTTTCATTGGATATAGAATTTTAAGTTGTCATTTTTCCTTCTTTTGGCATTTTATGGATATGAGTCTTTTGTCTTCCAGTTTGCATTTTTTCCTGTGAGAAATATTTTCTTTTTTCTTTCTTTTTTTTTTGAGACAAGAGTCTTACTCTGTTGCCCTCAGTAAGAGTGCTGTGGCATCATGGCTCATAGCAACCTCACACTCACAGACTCAAGGGATCCTCTTGCTTCAGCCTCCTGAATAGCTGGGACTAGAGGTGTCACTACAACATCCTGCTAATTTTACTAGAGAGAGGGTCTTGCTCTTGCTGAGACTAGTCTTGAACTCCTGAGCTCAAGCAATCTACTTGCCTCAGCCTCCCACAGTGCTAGGATTACAGGTGTGAGCCACTGAGGCTGGCCCTATTTTTTCTATGAATGATTTTTTTTTTTAGCTTAGATAGTAACCATTGAACACATCTCTTGTCCATTGTTTGATCTGCTGTTACTACTACTCCATACATTTTTTATTTCAGATGTTACTTTTTTTGCGTTCTAGAAATTCCATTGTTGCTTTTTGTTGTTGAGAGCTTTTATATCTCTGTATAATTTACTGTCATGTCACTTATATCCATCCTTTTCAGTAGGTTCTTATTGTTTAGTTGTTTCTTTTAAAGTTGTTTATTGATGGATTCTGTAGATTCTTTAGTATATTTATTAGAGTTTTTAAAAGTTCTCATCTGCTAATTAAGCATCTGGTTCATTGTGGATCTCTTTTGGTTGATTTTTTTTGTTGACTATGAATTAAATTTTTCTGCTTTTTCCTATTGTTGTAATTTTTATTTATTTATTTTTTGAGACAAAGTCTTACTTTGTTGCCCTCAGTAGAATGCTGTGGCATCACAGCTCACAGCAACCTCAAACTTCTGGGCTCAAGTGATTCTCTTGCCTTAGCCTCCCAAGTAGTTGGGACTACAGGTACCGGACATAATGCCTGCCTGTTTTTTAGAGACGGGGTCTCACACGTGGTCAAGCTGGTCTCGGAACCTGTTAGCTCAGGCAATCAACCTGCTTTGGCCTCCCAGAGTGCTAGGATTATAGGTGTGAGCCACTGACTGCCCCCTACTATGCAATTAAAAATGGTTGTAATTTTTAATTGTATAGTAGCTATTACAGAGATGCTGGATTCTGTTTTATTTTTCTGCAGAGTTGAGCTTTGTCTAACAGGAAGTTAAATTGCTGGACTGATTGTATTGATAATGTTGAGCCTTCTTATAGGCTTTGTTAGGACAGGTCTCTTTCAGTTGTGTCTTTAGTGCTGGGGAGCATTTCTGATTTCTGGGATGTAGTCCCTACTCCTAAAATGTGGCCATGTAAGGTTTCAGTAGAAAGCCTGAGGTGTTTATTTAAGACCCTTTAACTCCTTGAAACTCAGAGACTTAAAATTCAGGTTCTGTCCATTCTCCACTAGATATCATTCTTGAAAACTCTGCTTGGCTCCTCTGAATTCCTATTCATCCTGCTGGGATCTCTGTATATCCTTTGTATATGTGCAGTTCTGGGGTCAGCCAAGGATTCGAGGGAATTGTGTTTGCAGATTTTAGATTCCCTCTCTTCTAGAATTTGTTCCTTTAATTTCCAGCCACTTGGCCTGTTCCAGTGTCCCACTGACTTCTTAACCCAGAAGGACTATTAATTCCTTCCCAAACTGTCTTTGTGCCATAATTAAGGAGTACCCTCAGGGAAAAAGGCAGGTAAATGTGCCTCTCATCTAAAAGGTTCGCTTCTCTCAAGAATCTTTTTCCCTTCAGAGTCTATCTGCCTTTGGTTGCGCTCAAGTGATTTGAGAGAGTTACTTATAGTTGTTACCAGTTGGGAGGTGAGTTTATGGTGAGTTACTTTGCTATTACTGGGAACTGGAACTGTATCTATAATTTTTTTATTTTTGAGACAGAGCCTCAAGCTGTCCCCCTGGGTAGAGTGCTGTGGCATCACAGCTCACAGCAACCTCCAACTCCTGGGCTCAAGCGAGTCTCCCGCCTCAGCCTTCCAAGTAGCTGGGACTACAGGTGCCCGCCATAACACCTGGCTATTTTTTTTGGTTGTAGCCATCATTGTTGTTTGGTGGACTTGGGCTGGATTTGAACCTGCCACCTTAGGTGTATATGGCTGGCGCCTTAGCCACTTGAGCCACAGGCACTGAGCCTATAATTTTGTATCATACTTTTTTTTCACTTAACCTTTTATTTATTTATTTATTTTTTTAAGACAGAGTCTTCTGTTGCTCTAGGCTAGAGTGCTAGAGTGCAGTGGTGTCATCATATCTCACAGCAACCTCAAACTCTTAGGTTTGAGCAATCCTCTTGCCTCAGCCTCCCAAGTAGCTGGAACTATAGGCATGCACCACCACGCCTGGCTAGTTTTTCTATTTTTAGTAGAGACAGTGTCTTACTCTTGCTCAGGCTGTTCTCAAACTTCTGAGCTCAAGCAATCCACTGGCCTCAGCCTCCCAGAGTGCTAGAATTACAGGCATGAGCCACTGTGCCTGGCTATCACTTAACATTTTAATGTAAGAATTTCCCAAGTTTTAAAAAATTAATTATAAACATATCCAATGACTTTTAAACTTTCTATTTTGTAAGAAAATATACCATAATTTACTTGTGTATCTTCCTATTTTTGGAACTCAAGTGTTTTAACATTATAAATAGTGCTGGACTTCATTGTATGAAGGGGATGAAAAATGTGTTTTGTGAGGGTCTGGATACAGATTTCTTTCCTGGAAAATTTACTTAAGCACTTACAAATCATTAGTTTCTTTGATAAATTATATTGATCCTTTCAAGTGTGCCTCCATCCTGTTTAGGTCAGAATTTTTTTTTTTTTTTTAACTGTTTCTGGTCTTTCTGCTCTTCTTGTCCTTCAGAAAAAAGAAAATATTCGTTCCTTGACTATGTCTGGCCATGTTGGCTTTGAGAGTTTGCCTGATCAGCTGGTCAATAGATCCATTCAACAAGGTTTCTGTTTCAATATTCTGTGCGTGGGTAAGTGCCACTTACTCTTCCTCTGAATTGTTCCTTTGAGAGTTACTTGTGCTCAATTCGCTCTTTTCATAACAATATGATGCTTCTGTCATGAACTTGAAATCATGACCCCAGGGTTTTTCTGCAGTTATTTAGATTCTATTAGTTTTGTTTTTCTTAGCTTTAAACTTTTTTTTTTTTTTTTTTTTGGAGACAGGGGCTCTCTAAGTTGTCCAGGCTAGTTTGAACTCCAGTCCTCAAGCAGTCCTCCTGCCTCAGCCTCCCAAGCAGCTCAGATTGCTGGTATAAGCCCCCATGCCCAGCTAAATTTTCAACATTTTGTTTGTTCTGTAAACATTTCATTGTTTTCTTTAGCATTCCGAGTAACTTAGCCTATGTACTCATTTCTATGCTCTGCCAAGGCTTGGAGCCCAACTGGGCAGGTATTCCTATTATGGTTTTTTTTTTTTGCAGTTTTTGGCCAGGGCGGGGTTTGAACCCAACACCTCCAGTGTATGGGGCCAGCGCCCTACTCCTTTGAGCCACAGGCACCGCTGGACAACCTGCTTTTGAAATCTGTGGGCTCCTTGAAGTCACTCTAGGAAGAGTTTACAGACGTTTCTTCTCATCCATCCCAGGCACTTGTGAAGATGTGTTTTTGTTTCTTTTAGGGGAAACTGGAATTGGAAAATCAACACTGGTTGACACATTGTTTAATACTAATTTTGAAGACCAGGAATCCTCACATTTTTACCCACAAGTGAGACTTAAAGCTCAGACATACGAACTCCAGGAAAGTAATGTTCGATTGAAATTGACCATTGTGAATACAGTGGGATTTGGTGATCAAATAAATAAAGAAGAGAGGTATGTTTCTGGAATAAAACAAGTTTATCTTATTTTAAGACATTTACCTTTTAGTCCCATGAACTGTGATTTGATTTTCTCCTATAGAGTAATTCATACCTTTGCTCCCAGCCATTAATGTTTTTAATTATTAAGCATTTTTTTGTTCTTGTTAGCAAATTGATATTTTTCTATCCATTTAACTGATATCCTGAGAATAATTTGAATCATGTTATTAAAATGTACATTTCAGCAAAAATAATTTTAATTAATTTTCTGATATGCAAATTTAGTGTATATTAAGTTGTTGGCACAGATTTTCGTGTAAGATTCACCTTATGAAGGAAAAGAAATACAAGATATTCAAGAGCAAATACGTACAATGGCCAATACATGGTGCATGAATTTTTGTGAAATTCTAATCAAAATAACCAGTTCTATGATTAAGGATTGCAGGGAAGTTTCGATAGTGAAATTTTAATTTATATTTTACTTATTTATGTTATTATACCTCATCTACTTATGTCATTATATCTTGCTACCATTTCTCCTAAGGCATTATAAATACTGACTATAGATTCTATATCAAATTTAACCTATGAAAGGGAGAAATAGATTGGGATAAAACAATAATTTTTGTTTTTCCTATGTGACATATTTTACAGTATAGCCTTTTTAGCGCTGTGGTATATTTTAAATAGGAAGAAATGGTTTGTGTGCACATTTTGGCAAGAGTACATCAGTGGCAAGGGCAAAGGCCTGTGACTCCTTGCTTTAAATATTATTGATACATATAAAATAATAATCAGCTTAGAACTAGTAAGTGTATACAAGCAGTCCTCAAGATACAAACATCCAGCTTATATACAGCTCACATTTATGAATAGACATTATTACAGTAAGTCCCTGATGTACAGACATCCGACTGTCGTACAATTCACACTTATGAATGGAGGCTATTACAGGTCATAGATAAATGTTGCTATTTCAACTCACATACAAATTTAACTTCAGAACAGACTTACAGACTCTATCTTGTTTGTAATGTGGGGACTGCCTGTATAAATATAAGTATTTTTAAATGAACCTGAACGTAGAGTGTGTATACTTGACCGGTAAAATAAATTTTACTGTATTATGAAATAATACCTGCTATGGTTATAACTTTATTTTAAGTTAAGCTTTATTTATTTATTTATTTTCCCCTTTAAAAAATCTTTAATAGATTTAGGGGGTACCAAGTCAAGTCTGTTACATGTATATATTAGTGAAATCTGGGCTTTTAGTGTGCCCGTAATCCAAATAGTGTATGTTGTACACAATGGGTAATTTTTCATCTCTTACCCTCCACTCTCCCTCTCATCTTTGGGAGTCTCCAATGTCTGTTATTCCATTCTGTACTGCTGCTATGTATACCTATGGTTTAGTTCCCACTTAATAAGCGAGAAAATACAGTATTTGATTTTCCATTCCTAAGTTACTTTGCCTAGGGTAATGGCCTCCTCTTCCATCCACATTGCTGCAAAGGACATTATTTTATTCTTTTGTGTGTGTGTGTGTGTGTGTAGAGTATATACTACACCTTTTTAATCTAGTCATCACCTATTGCTTGATACTTTCATATCTTTGCTATTGTGAATATTGCTGTGATAAACATACAAGTGCAGGTATCTTTTTGATACAGTGGTTTCTTCCTTTGGGTAGATACCCAGTAGTGGGAATGCTAGATCAAATAGTACACCTGTTTTCAGTTCTTAGAGAAATCTCCTTACTGTTTACCATAGAGGCTGTACTTTAGATTCTCACCAATGGTATATCAGTGTTGACTTCTCTTTGTGTCCTCACTAACATCTATTATTTTTTTACTTACAGTAATGGCCGTTCTAACTTGAGTAGGATGGTATCTCATTGTGGTATTAATTGGTATTTCTCTGGTGATTAGTGGCATTGATCTGTTGGCCATTTGTATGTGTGTCTTCTTTTGAAAAATGTCTGTTCATATTGTTTACCCACTTTTTGGTGTTTTTTTTTTTTTTTTGCTTGTTGAATTGTTTGAGTTCATAGCAGATTCTGGATGTTAGTCCTTTGTCATATGCATAGCTTATGAATATTTTCTGCCATTCTGTAGGTTGTCTGTTTACTCTGTTGATAATTTTTTTTGCTGTGCAGATTATTAATTTAATTAAGTTTCATTGGTTTATTTGTTGCATTTGTATTTGGGGTCTTAGTAATAGGTTCTGTGCATAGGCCAATGTCCAATAGAGTTTTTCCTAGGTTTTTCTTGTGGAATTTTTGTGATTTCAGGTCTTAAATTTAAAAGTCTTTATTCCATCTTGAGTTAATTTTTGTAAATGATGAGAGCCAGGGATCCAGTTTCATTCTTCTGCATATGACTTTCCAACTTTCCCAGCATCATTTGTTGAACAGGGCATCCTTTCCTCAGTGTGTATTTTTGTCTGCTTTGTCAAAGATCAGCTGATTGTAGATATTTGGTTTTATTTCTGGATTCTCTGCTCTATTCCATTAACCTATGTGTCTGTTATTATATCAGCACCATACTATTTTGGTTACTGTAGCCTTGTAGTACAGTTTGAAATTGGATAATGGATGCCTCCAGGGTTGTTCTTTTTACTTAGGACTCCTTTTGGTGATGGTTGGGCTCTATTTTGGTTCTATATGAATGTTAGAATTTTTTCGAATTCTATGAAAAATAACATTGGTATTTTGATAGGGATTGCATTCAATCTGTAGATTGCTTTGGGCAGTGTAGTTGTTTTAACAATACTGAATCTTCCAGTCCACGAGTATGGGGTATTTTTCCATTTGTTTGTATAATCTGTAATTTCTTCCATCAGTGTTTTGTAGTTTTCCTCATAGAACTCTTTAACTTTCTTGGCTAAATATGTTCCTAGGTAATTTTTTTTTTGTAGCAGTTGTAAATGGAATTGAGTTCTTGATCTAGTTTTGAGCTGATTCTTATTATTAGTAGAAATGCTACTGATTTTTATGTATTGATTGTGTAAACATGAGACTAATTAATCAAACAGAGGAGTCTTTTGGAGGAGTCCTTGGGGTTTTCTATGTATAAGGTTATATTATCTGTAAACAGAGATAGTTTTATTTCCTCTTTTCCAATTTTTTTCTCTTTTTCTCTTACTGATTTCTCTGGCTAGTACTCCTAGTTCTATATTGGAAAGAAGTGGTCAAAGTGAGTATCTTTGTCTTGTTCCAGTTCTTACCATAGGGGAGGATGCCTTCAACTTTTCCCTGTTCAGTGTGATAATTGGCTGTGGGTTTGTCATATATGGCTTTTATTATTTTGAGGCATGTCCTGTCTTTGCCCAGTTTGTTGAGAGTTTTATCATTAAAGGATGAGTTTTGTCAAATGATTTTTCTGTGTCTGTGGAGATGATCATATGGTTTTTGTTTTTAATTCTATTTATGTGGTAGAGGATCACTTATTTAGTGATCATTTATTTAGTGATCACTTATTTAGTGATTCATTTTAATAGTGAATTGAGCTTATATATTGCTCAAGGGTTTATGCTAGTTCATACTTTCTGTGTCCTTCCATTGTTTACCATTTGGATAGGGAGAACAAGGTATTTTCTAAGTTTAAAAGAGGTAATGATACTCAAGGACTAGAAGGATCAGGCAACTTTAATAGAAGAATTCAATTCTATACACAGATACTGGGTGCTTAAGCTGTCCGTTTTAGGGCTAAAAAGATTAATTGCAAAAGTATCCAGGGAATTTGACATAGGAAATATTTTTTATTATTTTTGCTTGGAAACCCAGTCTTATTTGATGACAATAATTAGGAGTAGAAAGGTAAATTGCATAGGCAGTGACTTCGTACATCAAAATAAAGTGGAATGCTCACATAAACTTCAAACATTATTAGCACACTGTACTGCACATACACTGTGATCTGATTTGCATTTTGAAGGATGAATAGACTGAGATAGCAAGAAGGTTGATGGCTTTCCAGGGAGGAGTTATCTGAGTGAGGAGTGTGAGCAAAGGATAAGATTGGCTTTGTTTATAATTAAGTGAAAATAAAAACATGTCAGCATTACTAGTTAGATACTTTCAGCTGATGTGCACCTTTCATCTTTACTATGTTAAGTCTTTTCATGCCTTACAATCCTGATTTAAGAGGCAAGAACTTAGGGAATTTGCTTAAATATCTTTTAAGTTATTCATACATGTAGCCATGCCTTTCTCAGTTAAATAATCTGCCATGTACTAGTTTGGTTACAAATTAGACTGGTTATCTAATTGGCAATTGTGAGAGCCTTTGTCAGAAACTATCCCAGAGTCTGAATGAATGTGGGAAAGTATTAACATAACTTCCCTACCATTTCAAGCACACGTTGTCCTGATGGTTTTTTTTTTTTTTTTTTTGAGACAGAGCCTCAAGCTGTCCCCCTGGGTAGAGAGCTGTGGCATCACAGCTCACAGCAACTTCCAACTCCTGGGCTCAAGCGAGTCTCTTGCCTCAGCGTCCCAAGTAGCTGGGACCACAGGCATCCACCACAACGCCCGGCTATTTGTTGGTTGCAGCTGTCATTGTTGTTTGGCGGGCCCAGGCTGGATTCAAACCCGCCACCTTGGGTGTATGTGGCTGGCGCCTTAGCCACTTGAGCCACAGGCACTGAGCCCTGATGGTTTTAAAGCACAGATGGTACTCAACTTATGATAGTTTAACTTAACGATTTTCAACTTTATGATGGGTTCTTAGGACATAACTCCCAATAAACTTCCATTGTAAGTGGCAAAACATCTGGACTTGTGGTAGTTCAGGTTAATGATTTTTTGACTTTACAATGAGTTTATCGGGGTATTCAATGCATCTTTGGTGTACAATATTTTCAACTTACAGGGGGATTATTGGAAAGTGACCCTTTTGTAAGTTGTATACATGTTACCTCAGTGCATGCATGCTCTGTGCATTGTTATATCACTAAAGTTATCTATTAAGCATAGACAGTAACTTCATTAATAGATGAAAATACAGGCCTCAAACTTTAGGAGTTATACAAATATCTTATTAAGGTAGCACAGAGATGTTGTATTATATATTTAACTATCTTTCAGCTACCAACCAATAGTTGACTACATAGATGCCCAGTTTGAGGCCTATCTGCAGGAAGAACTGAAGATCAAGCGCTCTCTCTATAGCTACCATGACTCTCGAATCCACGTGTGCCTCTACTTCATCTCACCAACTGGCCACTCTCTGAAGACACTTGATCTCTTAACCATGAAGAACCTTGACAGCAAGGTGAGTTTAGGAAAAGAATCAACCAATGATACCTTAATGTTTATTTCAAACTATTAAAATATCTTTACAATATGTGTGTATATATTGTAACGTAGATTTTATGCATCTTTAAAACATAGGTTAAGTTTCTATCTTAGCTTATTTTCCAGAGAAATTCAGTTTGGGAGATGACGTGCAAAGAAGAAACATTAATGTAAAATTTTAGTTTCTTTTTTTAGTGATTAAATTGCATGCCAGAAAATGGATATTCTTTACATTTTTTATATAATTATACTTATACTTTATGACACTATTAAGCAAGAGGAAGACCTTCATTGACAAATGCTAAGTTCTTATGTTTTATCACATGTTAAAATATACTAAAATATGTTTTAATTTGGACCATATCAAGAAAACCTATTTTGAATTTTTCAGTGAAGGAGCTATATAAAAATTCAAAGAGCTATTAAAAAAACCATAAGTAAACTCACTTCAGATTTTTATATTTGTTTAAAAAGATGGTTAAACACTACTTAACTATCTTATACTTAAAAAAAAAAAATCTCCAGTTTTCCTATAATGTCTAATGGTGTGAGAGAGGGCAGATTTTGTAATTCAAGTTACTAATTTTACCAGGTAGGATTCAGAATGCAAGAGGATTCTGGATGCTACTGCTTTCTCTGTAGAAGTCAGTATGGAACGCCTGACAGCTTGCTAGGGAAGCTTTGGCATGGGTTTGCTTTTGAGTAGGGTTAGGGTTAGGGTAGAGCTTACTGTCTGTTCTTCTGATCAGATGTAATCACATATTCCAACTGTTTAGCCAGTTATTTTCATAGTTGAGTTTGATTATATGGAAATTCATATTTGTTAAAGAAACAAGGCTCAGCACCTGTAGCATAGTGGTTCTGGCGCCAGCCACATAAATCCAGGCTGGTGGGTTCAAGCCCAACCCAGGCCAGCTAAACAACAATGACAACTGCAACAAAAAAATAGCCGAGCATTGTGGCGGGGGCCTGTAGTCCCAGCTACTTGGGAGGCTGAGGCAAGAGAATCACTTAAGCCCAGGAGTTTGAGGTTTCTGTGAGCTGGACACCATGGCATTCTACCCAAGGCGACAGCTTGAGACTCTGTTTAAAAAAAAAAGGCTTTGTCACTTATTAGCTCTTTGATCTTTGATCTTGGGCAAGTTTCTTTAGCCCTCTGAGCCTCAGATTTCTTACTTCAAAGTAAAAACTAGAGAGAAGACCCATTTTAAGGGGCAAACATGAAAATTAATTAAATTTATCCATGTAAATAGAGGGTTTTGCAAATATAGAGCATCCGAAGTCACCACACATAGAGGAAGAGAGGGAATTGTAGCTAAAGGTGCCGTTACTTATAAAATATTCATCACAAAATTTTGTAAAATATTTATTAAATATTCTCTACGTGTTGGCCACCTCCCTACATACATACAAAGTCTTGTCTCCTCCTCATGGCCAACATGTTCCAAGATATCCATCGTTACGATTTTTCCTATGTGGCGACTTTTGGGACATCCAGTAAGATATGATTATCTTTACCTAGTGAGGATTAAATCAAACAATGTAGACCCTCTGTAAGTTGACCACCCAAGGGACTGTAACAAACTGGGCAACATACAGAGGTGGTCCACATAAGGAACTAGGCCCACTGTACTCATACATACATGTGGTACATGTCTGGTCTATGAAAATTAGGTCAACTTAAGGAAGTGGTTGATTTTGGGAGGTGGTCAACTGTGGAGCTTCTACTGTATATTGAAACCAAGGACTTGGCACCAAAATGTTTATGTGCTTTGACTAATTTAAAATGAAAGCTGTTTACTTGTGCTTGTTGAAAGTTTTCTGCCATTAACTTCATAGATAGTTGGAAAAATCCATATCTCCTTTGGAACATATGAAAGACGGATAAATCCAATATACATATTGAGTCAATGTGAAATATGTGAAGTTGGAGAAGAGAAAAGAATAGAATAGGAATTATAATTTTTACTTTTATCCTGAAAATTATATTGTGGTCTCACTTCTTAATATGTGTGACTGATTAATCTGAGATTTTTCATTAGAAACAAACGAACAAAAAAGTAAATCAAAACACTACCAATCCCAAGTTTGTGAAGACATCATTCTTTTGTAGTGACATTAATCTCGCAGTACTAGATTTACAAATTAGTCATTATTCACGATCCCAGGTCTCTTCCTATGTGTCAGTGATAGGACTTTAAATAATACCAAGGAAGTGGATCCTGTGCATCATGAGCACAGGATTGATTGCATTAGGACAGTTTCTTCCTTCCTCTGCCACCATCTGTTAGCAGTCTTTACTGAGGGGCCCAGGTGGGGCCAGAATCAATGCTGAAAAAAGAGGCAGAAACCCTTCACTTGTTCTTAGTTTTGCCAAGGGATTAATTACCCTAATCACTTAGTGCTGGGTGATTTTTTTTTAAGTGGCACTCTTTTTTTTGTTTTGTTTTGAGACAGAGTCTCATGCTGTTGCCCTTGGTGTCACAGCTCACAGCAACCTCAAACTCTTGGGCTTAAGTGATTCTCTTGCCTCAGCTTCCCACATAGCTGGTACTACAGGCGCCTGCCACAATGCCCAGCTATTTTTTGGTTGTAGTTGTTGTTGTTTGGCAGTCCCAGGCTGTGTTTGAACCCACCAGTTCTGGTGTATGTGGCTGGTGCCCTTGCCACTTGAGCTACAAGCACTGACCCCAAATGAAAATTCTTAGTGAATTAACAGTCACATACCAATGGGGGTGGGTCAGGGGTGGTTGTTTTTGTTTTTGTTTTTTTTGAAACATACTTTGTCGCTGTCAGTTGACTGCTGTGCCATCACAGCTCACAGCAACCTCAAACTCTTGGGCTCAAGTGATCCTCTTGCCTCACCCTCCTAAGTAGCTGGAACTACAAGCACCCACCATAATGCTTGGCTGTTTTTAGAGACAGGGTCTCGCTCTGGCTCAGGCTGGTCTTGAACTCCTGAACTCAGACAATCTACCCACCTCAGCCTTCCAGAGGGCTAGGATTACAGGCATGAGCCACTGTGCCTGGCCCAGGGACAGTTTATTTTAATATGTCCCTGACCTTCCCCTGTCCATTGGTTTGTGACAATTTCGGCATGCTGTTTATTATATTTTACTTATTAAGTGTGTGATGGAATTATAAGAGACTTTGAGGGAGAGAGAAGAAAATGTGAGATTTTTAAACCTAAATTCAAATGAAAGATTAATGGTATAAGAGTTCTACATTTGTAAAGTTGTTACTGTAAGGCCAGCACCTGTAGGAATGACTGTGTAAGGGGCATATAAAGAAGATAGTGACCGCCAAGGATTACCCTACTCAGGGGTTGGCAGATTTTGTCTGCAAAGGGCCAGGCAGAAAACATCAATCTTCACAGGCCCTGTGGCCTCTGTGGCAATGCCTCATCCCTGCTGCTGCAGTGTGAAAGCTGCCCTAGACCTTGCATAAATGATGGGCATGGCGGTGTTCTAGGAAGTCTTCATTCATAAAAACAGATAGTGAGATAGACTGTAGTTTGCCAACCCCTGACCTAGACTAAGGAAATTTCTTGTAAGAGAAAGAATGATTGTGAGTGAAAAAACTGCAGGATTGAAAAAGAAATCCTTACTTAGGAGACTGTATTTCTCTTTATTCTTCATAGGTAAACATTATACCAGTGATTGCCAAAGCAGACGCAGTTTCTAAAACTGAATTACAGAAGTTTAAGATCAAGATCATGAGTGAACTGGTCAGCAATGGGGTCCAGATCTACCAGTTCCCCACAGATGATGACACTGTTGCTAGGATCAATGCTGCGATGAATGTGAGCTGCTAGTTGAATATTGATTGTTTTGCATGTGAAAATAAAACCATAACTTATGAGTCACGTTGCTGCTAATATACTAATACACTTCCACTTGTGTCTTCCAAAAAGACTTCAACAAGGTGAATGTTCAGAAAGTCCAGTGTGAGAAATGTTTTATTGAGTTGGAAAAAGTATTACGAGGATGTATTTCTCAGCATATTTCCTTCTACTCTGCTTTCACTTAAATAAGTGATATATTTATACCTCTTGGGGAACCATACTTATTTGCCTTAGAAAGATGCCTTTCTATCCTGTCTTTAAAAACAAGAGAAGACATTATAGCCTCCCTTGGGATGCTTTAGAATCTTAAAATCTTGAAGATGTCTTTGGACTGGTGTTAATGTTTATGCTCTTTCTCTCTCACAGTGTCACATGTACATACTAAACGCTCACATAACTTTTGGTTTAATATAATTGAAGATGACTAAATTCTTTACTTCCTTCAAGTTAACACATTTCTTGGTTGTGTTTTGTAGCATCTTGAAGGCAGACAAATTTAACTATACGTTCTATTCAAGTTATTAAACCTTTCTGACATTGTTAACATATCCGTAAAATTAGGTTAATTACCTATATTGAGGTTATTGTGAGGATTAATGGTATAGCCTTTGTTAAGGGTCTTACAGTGATTTTCAGTAACTGTTCATTCCATTTCTTTCCTTTTCCTTTTCTGATATTTCAAACCCCATTTATATCAAGATATTACCTAATCTAAATCAGTAAAAACTGACTAATGTAAATTAAGTGATCTTAATTCCTATGTGTTAAATTGTTTTTACATCTGATTTTATTTCTGTGATTTCTTAGAATAATTTTTCACAAAGGTGCAATTAAGAAACTAAATAAAGTCAATTATTAAGTACTAAATATACTTAATAATTGAAGTGTACAGTATGTACACTTCTTAATGTATACTTTTTCCTTATATTAATCCTCAACTTCAAACAGACCCTTGTCCCTGAACTTAGCTGTTGCGTTTTGTTATATTAGCATTAGTTTAGCATTAGCATGAAAAAAAGACATTTGCAGAATAACGAATTAGCATATATTTACTGCCAAATCTTAAAATCAAATGATCAGTTGCTTAGCTGATTTTGTATAGTTTTATTTAATAAATTATTCTCTATTATAATTGTGTAAGTTTTTTTTTTTGCTAGTAAGTTATCAAATTGCCGTGAGAAGATATGATTGATACTGTGGTTCCTTTTTAGGGACAACTGCCGTTTGCTGTTGTAGGGAGTATGGATGAGGTGAAAGTCGGAAATAAGATGGTCAAAGCTCGCCAGTACCCTTGGGGTATTGTACAAGGTAAATGAGAAGAATGGTGACTAGAAATACATATGTGACCTAGTGATCACAAGGATGCATTATTTTGGGTTATGACTCGGTTGTCAGAGGAGTTGGCTGGATACTATTTTAGCTCGAGTCTGTGGGCCAGAGTCTCCCCGCTCTGTCATTGTGCCACTAGAGATGGCCTCTCCAAGTTCCCCAACTGTCAGAAGCTGAGGAGCACTGATGAGGCATTTTGACCAAAATTTGAATGTAAAAAGTAGTGTTTAAACATGATTCAGAAACTAATTACTACTTCATTGTAGGGCACAATAAACCATCCTATACATTTATATACTTTTACTAATCAAAGTACTGCCAACTATTTCCAAAGCAACCTAGTCAGCTAAGTCTACTTGACATTTAGATTATGTCTAGCATTATAGAGAAGTAAGTAATTAGCTTACTAATGAATCTAAATGAATCTGATTCATTTACTCGTGATACAAATTAATGGGGAATGGACACTATTAGTACTTGTTTGCAAATGTTCCATGTTAAAAATTGACACATATTGTAATTAATGAGAAAGATTGAGAAAATGTAACATTTTTAATGGATAAAAAATATAAAAGTAGTAATTGTACTTAGGACTAATTGTATTCAGGACTATTTATTTATAGCTCTGTGGTCACCATAAGCATAGGATGAGGACCACGAATGTGTGTTTGCTAAATTTGAATAGTGCCTAACATAGGATCATAAATGTAATTAAAATGAATTTGATAATTATAGTATGCACAGATGGTATCCTTGAGGCTGCAGAATTTACTAGTTTGAAGTTTCAGTGAAGTAATGTTACATACTCTTTTTCAGCACTATATGAAATGTCCTGAGGATAGTTTGTAAACTGCTAGCAAAGTGTTAATGAAATAGGAAGAGCATATAGTTAACATAATAAATTGCATTTCTCTGCTGTTTCCCGTTTATCCATTGGCTACTACATTTAAAGCAAATCTCTTGGTCTTTTAATTAATGTTTCCCATAATTCAGTGTATAAAATGCAAGAGTTTCTTCCTTGCTTACTTGTGTAAAATAATCATTTTGTTATTTAACTGTTATAGTCACATGTGTTTTCACTTATTTGTTCATTCAATAAGTACTAATTGTATACCAGGAGATAAAAACCATTGTTGCTTTTCTCCTATTTTTTTCTGGCTAGTGGAAAATGAGAACCACTGTGACTTTGTAAAGCTGCGGGAGATGCTCATTTGCACAAACATGGAGGACCTGCGTGAGCAGACCCACACTCGCCACTACGAGCTTTACAGGCGCTGCAAACTGGAGGAGATGGGCTTCACAGACATGGGCTCTGACGACAAGCCTATCAGGTGAGGCCGGGGGGCATTAGCACTGCGTGGCTTTGTATATCCCGGATTTGGGGGAATATGGTTTTCAGAAATCTCCCTAAATCATGAAGTAGAATCATTTGCTAAAGACTAATCATCATGCTTCTCACATCACTTGACACCTTTTTGCTTTTAAAAGGTCTTTAAGCTAAGGTGATGAGATTTTAACATTGATAAAGCTGGACACCATTGATGGGGTGGGGGGGTGGAGGGGGTGTTGGTTCTTTTTTTTTTTTTTTTTTTGAGACAGAGCCTCAAGCTGTCCCCCTAGGTAGAGTGCCGTGGCATTACAGCTCACAGCAACCTCCAACTCCTGGGCTCAAGCGAGTCTCCTGCCTCCGCCTCCCAAGTAGCTGGGACCACAGGCGCCCGCCACAGCGCCCGGCCATTTTTTGGTTGCAGCCATCATTGTTGTTTGGCGGGTCCGGGCTGGGGATTCGAACCAGCCACCTTAGGTGTACGTGGCTGGCGCCTCAGCCGGTTGAGCTATAGGCGCTGAGCCTAGGGTGTTGGTTCTTAATTAAAAATTCGGTCTATATGGAGCAACAAAAATTTTCAAAGAACACAAAAATAGTATTGTAATATATATATTTTTAATTTCAACATAAGTACAATTTACAAATACATTTTAAAAAATTATGTATAGGGCGGCGCCTGTGGCTCAAAAGAGTAGGGTGCTGGTCCACCTGGGCGACCTTGCCCAGGAGGGGAGTAGGGAGTTTCCATTAGCCTTTTTATTTCCAAATGATTAACCTCTTCATTCCCAAATGGAGTTACATTAACCTTTTCAGCAGCTGAAAACCGAATATTCCCTTCCTTTTGTCCCGCCCTAACTTGTTGTGCATTCTTTCCAAATATCAGGACTTTTTAAGCATGCTGCGGGACATGGGACAAATTGTTAAAAATCGGGACTGTCCCCGCCAAAAGCGGGATGTCTGGTCACCTTACTTTAAGCCCTTGTCTGACTCAGAAGGAGTTACATAGAAGGAAGAATAGATGGCAGAAGTCCCCTGTGTCCGTACATGTTGATGGGAGAGCCTGGAGGAAAAAACGTCATTGTTTGGATTTATTTTGCATTTATATGAGATAGATGAAATTGTAAAAGAAAGAAAAGATAGTTGGAGCAGGAGTCATATTAAGTAAATTAAAACAAGATCTGTTGGTTTTTCTCCTGTGAGAGTTTTGAAATGAGTGAACCTTGTAAAGGAAGAATGGAGAGTACTTGTAGAGAGGCAGAGATTAGATTGTTTCTCCTAGTGTTATAGTGCCGTTATAAGAACTGTAGAACCTGAAGACCTTGCTCTATGATAAAGAGTGTTGAATGTTATTACAGATTTCCTTGGTAATTTTATGTGGTGCTAGATCTCTGACTTCGTTTTTTATAAAGACACGTGTACCTGAAACTGTTCCTTAATGTACTACAGTAAATCTGATTTGATGTGGCATTCCAGAACAGTTTTTGCATGGAGAAAAGCGCGAGATCCTTAGGCAAAGGCTATTTTAAACTCCGAGACTGAGGATTCCTTTTCTATTGCACTGTTTCATTTCAACATCTTCCCTGGCTGTTAGCACTTGCTGCAGAGTAAACACAGACAAAGGAGGAAGCGCCTCAAATCAGTGCTGCTATTTCCTACGATCTTTTGGAAGACTTACTCACAAATTAAGTTGAATTCTTTTTTTTTTTTAGAGACAGTCTTACTTTATTGCCCTCTAGAGTACTGTGACATCATAGCTCACAGCAACCTCCGACTCCTGGGCTTAAGCAATTCTCTTGCTTCAGCCTCCTGACTAGCTGGGACTACAGGTGCCCACCACAACTCCCAGCTATTTTTTTGTTGCCGTTTGGCTGGGGCCAGGTTCAAACCTGCTTCCCTCGGTATATGGGGCAGGCACCCTCCCCACAGAGCCACAGGTGCTGCCCCCAAATTAAGTTAAATTTTTAAACTTTTTTAATCTATGGATTTAATTAGTGTTTTAGGTTTTGATAGCATAGTAAATTATGAGTTGTATGTACCCTCGCACACATACACACCAAATTCAGGCATACTGTGCTCTGGTTGTGGGCCAGTCATTCTGGTTAAATGAAGATTTTTTTTGTCATTATATTATCTTCACTGAAGATTAATCGTCTCAAGTTGACTTCCCCAGTGTTGCCCACAGGAGGTTTCACTTCTCATTTCTTCCAAGTCTCAGGGTAAGTCAGAGGTCTCTGCAGGGAGGAGATGAAAGTCCTGGGTGAGAGGTGCCTCCAAAGGCCTCTTGTAGGAGAGGGGTCCGGGTTGCCTGGTGGATTCAGTGTCAGCCACCCCACCTACAGATATTAAGAAAGGCAGGTTCAGAATTTATAAAGATAGAGCCTGGAAATCTATACTGTAAAATTGTCAGTCATTCAGGAATTGTCTTCCGTCTGCTGGGCATACTCCTGGTCACCGAGGATGCCAACACTGTAGAGTCAGACAAGACCTTGTTTTTATAGAGTTTCTGCGTGGGGGTGGGAGGAGGATGCTCTGGCCCCTTGTGAGGAGGGGTGGGGCTGGTGAGACCACATTAGGAGGCTGCCTCAGTGGTGCAGGTCTGAGAAGGTGGAGACATGGACAAGGGTGGTGTTATGGAGGCTGAAAAGCATGTCTAGGGGATGTATTTGAGGTTAGAGTCAGTAGGACTCTCTGATGGATTGGTTTGGATATGGGATATAAAGGAAAGAGAACTCTAGGATCCCTTGAGTCACTGTTCTGACCTGATAAATGGGATGGCTTGTGATCGGTACTGATATGAGCAGGATGGGAAGGGGTGGTTTTGGTAATTGAGAGGTTTTGGAAACAGTAAATTTAAGTTGCTTATTAAATATTTATATGAAGAGTTTGGGTAGCTTATTACATAGATATATTTAGAGCTTAGGGGAAAGTTGTTTAGTTGTTGTTGTTTTTTTTTTTTTTAAAGACAGTCTCACTATGTCACTCTCAGTAGAATGCCATGAAGTCACAGCTCACAGCAATCTCAAACTCTTGGGCTTAAGCAATTATCTTGCCTCAGCCTCCCAAGTAGCTGGGACTACAGGTGCTTGCCACACACCTGACTATTTTTAGATATGGGATCTCACTCTCACTCAGACTGGTCTCAAATTCCTGAGCTCAGGCAGTCTACCTGCCTGGGCCTGCCAAGAGTGCTAGGATTACAGGCATGAGCCACTGCGCCTAGTCATAGCTTAGGGACAAGTTAAGGCTGGGAGAGTCATGAGGAAGTCAGCAGTGCATAATACTAGGTAAAATCATAAGTATGTTGCAAATGTTTCCTGTTTACAAGTCTCTGGGCTAAGTGCTAGGGGTTTAACACTGTCTCTGATGGAGTTTACATTCTTGTAGGAGAAGCCCCCAAATTAAACAGTAAACTACAGCTTATGGAGTGTGCACTGCTAGAGAAGTAGGCCATGTACATGGTGGGAAAATTAGGGAAGACTCCTTTGAGGCAGTGACTATTGAGAACTGCAGTAACCTGGGAGACACAGAGCAAGACAGAAGCAGAGGCCAGGAAGAGAAGGGTGCAGGCATCTGTAGGACTGGAAGGAGAAGCGTGCTGGGCTCCATGGGGCTGGGGCAGTGGCCTGAGATTGAGAGAGCAGGGGCCTCTGGGGAGGATTTGGTGTCATTGTCCTAAGGGGAAGGCAGAGTCATTTAGAAGCAATTATTATTTTTGCATTTTAAACTTCCCTCTTGGCTCCCCTTAAGAGAAAACAGTCAGGAGAGTATTTCTTGGACTAAAGTGATAACAATGAGAATAAAGAGGGCTGGACATAGTTGAGAGACATTTAGAAGGTGAATTTGGAAGAATTTAGCAGTTGTTGGATATAAGCAGGTTAAAAGGCAGGACACTCGCAGGAGACCTCTGGTCTCCTTTCATGGCTAGGTGGATGGTCACTGCATCATCAAGATGGGGGTTGCTAAAGGAGGACCAGCTTTCCGGTTAGGCTGCAGGGGTAGGCACGATGGAGATGGGAAGCTTGGCACAGGACCTGTTGACTCTGAGTTTCCTCTGACACATTCAAGTGACAGTGTCAATTAGGCACTTACATTTATGGGTATCTCAGAGGAGAAATGCTGGGCCAAACGGAAACGAGAGTCATAGGCATTTAAATGGTTACTTGAAAGTAGGAATAGGGTGGAGACTCCCCTGGGTGAGAAGCATATCTGGAAAGAAAGGTGCCTCAGCAGTAGCCTGGAGTCACACTAGCATTTGACAGCTGGAGGAGCAGGGCAGAAAGATTGAGCAGGGTAGGGTGGAAGAGTAGGAGGGGAGCCAGCAGTGTGGTGTCTCAGAAGCCAGTGAAGAGGGTTTCTACAAAGAGGGAGCTGCTGCTGTGCTTCCAGGGACAGAGGCACCCTGTCTTTATGGTTCCTTGAAAGCAACGAAGGCCACTCTGTGTTTAATTGAAAAGGACAGAGGCACAGGGAAAAGCTTCCAATGGGCAGAAACCAGCTTCATTCCAGCTTTGGGAATGGACTGAATGAACTGAAACCATTGCCAGCCTTCTTTATTCACTGCTCAGAATTCATAGGTTGGGTAAGGGGTGTCCTATAGGCCCAACTTAGGTCATGTGCCCATCTCTTGTTTGGCAACAGGCATGAACCTAATTGTCCCAGCAGACTACATTCCGTGGGGAAGAGGTAGCTTCCCAAGAGGAAGCAGGATAACAGAACAAGAGGAGATGCATAGCTGGTGGGCATTCCGGAAGCGTCGGTTGCCCATCACATTCTCTTATGGAGCATTTCTTCAGTTTGAGAAGCACCTGCTCACTGACCAGATGAAAAGTGGAAATGAGAAAGGGAGATTCTTTAGTTTAGGGTTCAGTTGGAGGGGAGCAGTGGCTGTCTGGAAGCTGCTTGCAAAAGATAAGCTAGAGTCGGGGAGCTGGGTCTGTGCTTGCAGGCCAAATCCCTTCTGCCTATTCTCCTTTAGGGCAGAAGCTCCTTGACCCTGAGCTTCTCGTGTCAAGTTGAGGCAAAATGTCTCTTCTGGTGCTTTCTCATGAATAAATGATTTGATAAGCGTTCTGTAGTTCAATATACCTGATATATTAGGAAGCTTTTATTTTTTATAGTTTCTCAAAGTTACATTCTGTTTTCTGGGCAATGCTACACACTTAATTTAGTAGTCACTATAATTTGGTTGGCGTGTAAAATCTGTTTCTCAGTTTATATTTGTTATAATGCCAGTGTGCTAATTTGGCCAGGCAGGAGAGAAACTTGGTGTGAAGGGCAGATATAACAAGCTTTATTCAGATCATCGGTGGCTGGTGAGCTAAGTTACGTGGGAGGTCTGCCCTAATTCCTAGCAGTCTGGAAACTGAATTACACATCACAATCTGTGATCCACAATCTGCCATGCAAGGGAAAGGTGCACCTTGGTACCAAGGGAACAAAAGTGGCAGCATGCCAATTAGCAGTTACACGTTACACAAGCATGACCTCACTATACACAGTCATGGCTTCCTAGGAATACATGGCGCTTTCCCATGGGAAGAAAGCCTAGACAACTTCATCTTGTCCCGTAGCCAAGGTCATGGGAGAGAAAGCCCAAACACTTCTTCCTGTCTTTACATCGATATAGCAATAAAAAAAGTTACATGAATGTGTCAGGGTGACATTTATTTCTCCACACTTCCCAGCCCTCATCTTTCCTGGACCTTCAGTTTATTTTTCCATTTTCATCTGACTGAATGTTTCTGCTGAGTCATAGTTGGTACCCTAAACTGCCAGCACTGATCAGGTGCTTATCAAGAGGTCCACTTAAGTAAGTGGCATTATACTCTTACAGTTTTTATTAACTTATCTTAACATTTTTGTATTAATTATTTAAACCATTTGAAACATGCTGTTATAAAACTTTTAAATCCCGATATTTAATAATTTCAGACTAGCATAACTAATCTCTTTTCCATAATCACCTTTAACACTTCGGTACAAATCACTGCCAGTGAAGTGTGGGACCTGTAACTGAAAAGATTTCTATAGTATTTTAGAGTTGCTTAAGGGTTTGGCACAGTAAAATTTGTGTCCTTGCTGCTCTTAAGAGATAAACAGTTAACTTTATGAAGTTCACAGTACCTTTGGAAAAATTCACCAGGCTTTGTAGAACTGTACGTGAAACACAAACAGATCTCAAGTGAAGGGGCATAAGGACTTTCCTTGATGACATGAGCATCTGAGAATTTTTTTCTTCCTCTTTGGTTTTCAACTTGGCTTGTGAGATTTACAACTATAGTAATATTTTGGCATAAAATATTTTCTGGCATTAAATATTCATGATAGCAAGCTACTTTTATGCTCAGAAGAGAGTAGTATAGCAAGAAAACGTTTTCATTTTCATTTAATAAATTTATGATCTTATAAACAATGGCTGCATTAGTTTTACATGACAGATTCGTGTAATACAAGTTACAAACATCCCACAACCTGCACTAATGAACAGAGGCTATTACAGGTAATAGGTAAATATACCTGTTCCAACTTACATACAAATTCAACTTAAGAGCAAACCTACAGAATGTATCTTGTAACAAACCTGGGGACTGCCTATACTAGCTCTATAAACCATTCTCTCCAGATTGTCTAAGAGTTGCTTTACCACCTTTTGAAATCAAGTATCTTTTCTTGAAATGGCCTTGTAAATTTTTTCTATAGGAGACAGAGTCTCACTGTATTGCCCAGGCTAGCAACTGAGGTAAGGGTAAGGGAAGAGTCAAGGATGACTTCAAGACTTAAGACTTCTAGATACAATGATTCTAGTTAACAAAGATTGAAAGAGAAAGAATTTGGGGGTGAAATGAGAAAGAGTTACAGCCATAGAGACTTCAGGCTCGGCGCCTGTGGCTCAGGTGGCTAAGGCGCCAGCCACATACACCTAAGGTGGCGGGTTCAAATCCAGCCTGGACCCACCAAACAACAATGACGGCTGCAACCAAAAAATAGCTGGGCGTTGTGGCAGGCACCTGTGGTCCCAGCTACTTGGCAGGCAGAGGCAGGAGACTCGCTTGAGCCCAGGAACTGGAGGTTGCTGTGAGCTGTGAAGCCATGGCACTCTACCCAGGGGGATAGCTTGAGGCTCTGTCTCAAAAAAGAAAAAAAAAAGAGACTTCAAAACTGTAGTATTCTGTATTAGCTATATATAATACTGTGGTTTTTATCTCAGGCTACAGGAGATTTCATATTTGGGTTCCCATTACGTATATAAGGCCTAACATGAGACATGGAACAGGTCCTTGGATAACGTTCTTGTTCAATATTGTTTTGTTATAATGTTGATGACAAAAGGAATTGATTCCCAGCTGGGGCTACTGTCTGTGTAGTCTGCATGTTCTCCCCATGTTTTCTTCCAGTATTGCAGGTTCTTTCCGTATCCCAAAGGTGTGCACTCTCGGTGAACTGGGGTGTCTAAACTGTCACTGTGTGAGTGTGGGTTTGTGTGAGCGCATCCTATGATGGGATGGCCCCTGGCCCAGACCTGGTTCCAGCACTGTACCCTGATCTGCTGGGATATGCTCCAGCCACTCTTGACCCTGCACTAGAATAAGCAGGTTGGAAAATGAATGAATATACATTATTGTAAAATAAAAACTCATTAAGTATACAATAAAACGACAGATGTACACCAATAAATGATGCCGTACAAAAGCACTCAGCAAGCCAATTTTATTGGTTATCATTTGTTTTTGAAACATGGTGGTAGGAGGTACTTACAATTTTTCCTTTGTAAATATTCGCCGATTTAACTCCCCACTGCTGCAGTTGCCATCCCTTACTGATTTACCCAACTGAAAGTTGGGTAAATAATCATCTTACTTTATTAATCTTTCTGAAATGTAGGTAAAGCTCACATTTATTTTAATGTTTAATATTAGAAGTGTTTTGGGTCTTTATTTGGAAGTGTGGTGATGTTTCTAAGATCAGACAGGAACTTAATTCTTGTTTATATCAGTTACCTAATGGGAAGGCTGGCTGGGAAGGCTAGCTGGGAAGCCTGACTGAGAAGACTGGTTTCAGCCCTTCCCTTAAAGTTGCAGTCTTTGGGAAACTACCAGGATGCTAAGTGAAGACTTGCTATATTTTTGCAAGTTTATTATGATCATTTTTTCACAGAAGAATAACACAAATACCTATTTTAGTCTTCAAGAAACTTACGAAGCCAAAAGACATGAATTCCATGGTGAACGTCAGAGGAAGGAAGAGGAAATGAAGCAGATGTTTGTGCAGCGGGTTAAAGAGAAAGAAGCCATATTGAAAGAAGCAGAGAGAGAGGCAAGTACGCTGGTTTGATGTGATTTCCATTTATTTTTTAGGTATTTTAGTAGTTTGGGAGGTTTATTCCAAGAATTTAGTCGAGATGCTTTTGTAGCCTACTTGTCATTAAAATGTAGTTATTCTAACATGTTGTCTTTGAATACAGACTTAAAAAATATCATCTGAAATCAAATTATAATTTTGTCCTTTGGAGTAAACCTTCCATTAGAAGTGATTCACCAAGGACTTGTACTAGACTAGGTTACCAAGAATTGTTTTAAATATCTTCACTGTGAGCCATAAATGTTTTCACTTTGGCTTGATAAACCCTTTTTTGAGAGTTGTAAGGGCATTTGTTTGCCTTGAGAGCTAGGAAGGCACTTTCCTTTGCATTTGAACTCAGCCTTTCTGAATGCAGTTGGATGGACTCCAGGACCTTGGGATAGCCCTGGCACAGGGAAGTATCACCAGTGAACTTCCATAGTTTTGTTTGGTTAAGGTGACCAGATTTTAACATTGGTAAAACAGGACACCAGTGGGGGGAGGCGGGGCCTGACAACAATGCAAACTTTGATAAGCAGTTCTCGATAATCAGTTCTGAACAATTATTTGTTATTATTAAAGTTTAACATTATAAAATTAACAAAAATAATATAAAAATGCATATCCTGGCAAAGTAGCCACATGGCAGCTGAAAACCATGTATTCCCTTCCTGTTCTCCTGTGTTCCCTAGCTTGTTGTGCATTCTTTCCAAAAATCAGGGCTTTTTTAAAACGCCACAGGACCCAGGACAGATTGTTAAAAATCAGGACTGTCCCACCAAAAGCGGGATGTCTGGTCACCTTACTCTGGGTTGGGGGGGCTACTTGTTTGTTCCAGACAGTTTGGCTCCGTCTGAGCTAATTGTCCTTGCCTAGAAGCAAGGGAAGGAGCCAGTCTCCTTCTGATACCTTGCCCATGAGGGGAGTAGGGAGTTTACATTAGCCTTTTCATTTCCAAATGAAGTTACATTAACCTTTTCAGCAGCCGAAAACCATATATTCCCTTCCCATTCTCCTGCTGTTCCCTAGCTTGTCATGCATTCTTTCCAAAAATTGGGACTTTTTAAAAATGCTGCAGGATGCGGGACAAATTGTTAAAAATCGGAACTGTCCCGCCAAAAGCGGAACGTCTGGTCATCTTATGTTTGGTTCTAGTTCTTCAAGCAACAGTTTTAGTTTTGAGTGCTAATTGCAATAGCGACTTTGAAATAAACAGCTACATTTCCAATGAAGATCATTTTGCTGCAAAAGGGAATTGGTAACAGAAGACAGAATTGTTAATATAAAGAAACTGGATAATATGAGAGTTCCTGAAGAGTCATCTGTGATTTAATTTTGCAAATTTATTATTTTAAGTATACTTGTACTGGCTATTTAAATGAACCCTACAGGAAATGGTTTTGTAAAAGTAGTAATCTACTAATTTATTTATAATTTAATTATGATGAAAAAATTCTGTTAAAAAAGTTCAAACAGGCATGGTGCCTGTGGCTCAAGCAGCTAAGGTGCCAGTCACATACACCTGAGCTGGCAGGTTCAAATCCAGCCCAGCCCGCCAAACAACAATGATGCCAAAAAATAGCCGAGCGTTGTGGCGGGCACCTGTAGTCCCAGCTACTTGGGAGGAGGAAGCAGGAGAATCACTTGAGCCCAAGAGTTGGAGGTTGCTGTGAGCTGTGATGCCACAGCACTCTACCCAGGGTGACAGCTTGAGGCTCTTTCAGCCAATATGCAGAGTCGGGGTTTAAGTCCAAACAAGCTTTATTTGTCAGAAGGCCAGCAATGCTGGAGAACACAGAGAGTAGCCTCTCAATTCTGTTCTGCCTCAGTTACAATATGATGAAATACAAGGAAACCAACCTAGAAAATTGTAACTTGATCTGATAGGAAGTAACATCAAAGTGGTCTCCATTCTAATAATGCAAAATGTTTAAACAACAGAAAGGTGATTTTTACTTTAACAAAATATGTAAGAGAATCATCAGAGAAAACATTGTATCATCAAAGTACCCTTTACTCCACCAAAGTCACAACACCTATTGTCTGTGTGTGACTACTTCATTAGAGTTTCCTGAGATAAACACCCTTCCAAATCATGGTGAAATCTTAACTAGATAATCATGGACAGTGTGTGGTGAAGGCCGAGAGGACTAAGATGTACTGCTTCAGCTCAGCTTCTCAGACTCCATCTTGCAGGCTGTTTTTCTGACTTTACACATAGCTCCAAAGGGACCCTGGAGTGGGGGGGCTGGGGTACTACTCACACAGAACCTCTGGCATGTGTGTGTGGGGCTTTGGTAATGGCTGTGGCTGTGCTGGCAAGGTCTTAGCTATCACCAGCAGCTGTTGGAGAGATCCTTCTTTTTTGTATTAACAACAATAACTGATATTTACTGAATGCTTATTCAATGCCAAGCATCAATCATGGTAAGAATGTTTTTCTTCCCTTTCTATCTTGATTTTCTTAAAGCTTTCCTTTTTTAATCTTTTGTTTTCAGAGGTTTGAAAAATATGCCTTCTATGATCCATAGAAGACATTCCTTAAATTGGGGAACAAAACCTGCCTGCCTCCAGGTTGATGTCCAAAATGACGTTGTTCCCCCTCCTATGGTGGGGGGGGGGGGTCCATCCAAGATGATTTTCAGTCTCAAGGAAATGAAATTTTACTGAATTGTGTCCTTTAGATATTTGTTTTACTTCTGTTTTTTTCACTTAACGAAAGGAATCTCATGATGTACTGCTACAAACTTTTGCAAAACTTATTTTAATGGCTGTGTAGGGCAAGAACAACTCCCAGAGATTCTTAGTTGGGATGTGCGCTGTGTTTGCCATGTTCTTAGATTGAATAGAAGTTTATTAACATGTACATTTATTAACATTAACATTTCACACGTACATGGGAGGCACAGAGAGTGTTTCTCAAGAGATGACTTTGGATTCCAGTTTATATAGCAACCGTGACAAAGAGCAGTAAAATTTTTAGAGCAGTGACAAGACAAAGGAAAAAGATTTTTGAGTCTCTAGGGGTAGCAACACAGAGGAAGGGAAATATTAATAACTAGCTGATAAACGCTAGTGAAGGGAAGATTCCTCTGGTGCCATCCTAGGCCCTGAAGGGTCTAAAGTTAAAGTTGTCTTTGGTGGTTAATGGTGGTTAACCTTTACCCTCGCAGGCATGGGGAGAGCAGGGAAGGGGCAGGACCCCTTTTATCTCTGTAAAGCATGTCTTGCCGAGGCAGAGGGAGGGAAGGCTCAAGGCTCTCTGCCTCTGCTGCTTCTTAAATGCCTGCAGCTCTGGAGACCTGCATGTTTTGTGTGGAACATTCTGTCTCCTACAGCTGCATTGAATGTATTTAGCTTAAACTAATTTTTTAACTTTATCTTTATTGGATACTTAGGGTGTTTTTCCCATTTCAGTGCAAATTCTACTGCAGGGAGTTTTTATATAAAGATTTCTCCGAATTTAGAATTTCTTTAGATTATAATAAGTTGAATGACTGTGGAAAAATACAGTGCACTTCTATGTACATTGACAGCTGACCCTTGCTGTCTAGTGAGGTACACCAGTACAGTTTTTAATAATTGTTTGGTACATATTATCTTTATTTGGAAAATAGGTTTTTATTTTTCTTTTCTTTTTTTTTTTTTTGAGACAGAGCCTCAAGCTGTCCCCCTGGGTAGAGTGCCGTGGCATTACAGCTCACAGCAACCTCCAACTCCTGGGCTCAAGCGAGTCCCCTGCCTCCGCCTCCCAAGTAGCTGGGACCACAGGCGCCCGCCACAACGCCCGGCCATTTCTTGGTTGCAGCCGTCATTGTTGTTTGGCGGGTCCGGGCTGGGGATTCGAACCCGCCACCTTAGGTGTACGTGGCTGGCGCCTTAGCCGGTTGAGCCACAAGCGCCGAGCCAGGTTTTTATTTTTCCATTTGATTCTTTCCTTCTGTACTTTGTGTCTCTTATTTTTATTGACCACAGATTTGAGAAACTTTATGTAAGAGGCTTTGGTAGGGAAAGTGTAAAGAGAAAACAAAAACTCAAGAAAAGGGTCAAATATTTTAAAACCATTTTTTTTTTCATGAAGCTGTGGTTTTCATTTTGTTGGGTTCAAGCATTTTTTGCATGGGAACTCATTTAAAATTAAAGCAACCGAGGTGGCTTTACATGTAAACCTTTGATTTGAAGCTTGAACTTTGGGGACTGTAGATGGTGTGGACGGGGAGGACGCGCCGCCCGAGAGCGTCGCTGCGCGTGTGCTGCCACGCTGTGTCAGGAGCCGGCATTGCACTTGTGTTTCCAGCTGCAGGCCAAATTCGAGCACCTTAAAAGAGTTCACCAAGAAGAGAGAATGAAACTTGAAGAGAAGAGAAGATGTTTGGATGAAGAAATAGTTGCTTTCTCTAAAAGGAAAGCTACCTCTGAGATATTCCAGAGCCAGTCCTTTCTGCCAGCCTGTAGCAACCTGAGGAAAGACAAGGACCGTAAGAGGTAAGTGTCTCCAGCCACCCGACCCACCTGGCCCCAGCCCTGTCCCAGTCTGCCTCCTGGCCCTGTTGGATCTTCTTGTGCTGCTGTCCCAGCTCTCTTGCTCCTGGTCCGCCTCTTGCCCCTACATGCCACCTCCTGGAAAGCAGAGGCCTGTCCCTCTCAGTTCCCTATTCCCTGCAGCTTCCCTAGCCCCTAAGCAGCACCTGCACAGGTTATAAGTTCAGTAAATATTTGCCACAGTGAATGAACGAGTGAACAAAATGAAAATACACAGCAGTGTAAAAAGGGTCAGTTAGCTGGGGAAATAAATTGGCTGTTCTTACTTTGTAGCTCAGCCCTGGCCTAGTACACAGCTGATGACTGCTGACCTGCTGTGAATTATTTTGAAATTCCTGTTCCAATGGAAGCTGTGCACTTTGTTGGGGAATCATAGACATAAAACAGTGGTTCTCAACCTTCCTAATGCCACGATGTATTTTCATTGTTACAAAGGGGTTGCGACCCACAGGTTGAGAACCGCTGACATAAAATATAGCATTTTATTTAAAAAAAAAGAAAAAACCTAATTCTTAGGCTCACTTTTTTAAAAAACAAATTCTACTGATATTGATTTTGTGAGAATTTTTATTTTAATAAGGGGACCAGGCTATCGATTCGAACTCCTGTGCTTTGATGTCACAACTTGTGAAACCAATGGTGGACGTAAAGATGCAGAGAAAGGTAGAGAGGGCCACAGTGCAAGGGTCGGCCATGAATAGCCCTGGATGGTAATCTCAAGGCTTGTAGGTTGGGGTATGTGTTAAAATCAGTTACCAAAGTTTTAGAAAATAAGTTTTTTTTCCTTTTTGATAATTTCCTCTGTATTTTGTGCTCCTCATTTTTCTCTCCCACTTAAAATGTCTTTGTCAGTTTTAACTATTTGTTGCTGAAATTCACCATGACCTGTTCTGTTCAGAATGGGCCTGTGTGGGTCCCTTCCTTGGTTTGCTCTGGCTACCTCTGTGTTAGCCATACCATGTCTTCCTGTGTCCCTCACAGGGCAGCCTTTCTTCTGGCTTAATTTTCTCCCTACATCGATTTCATACCCAGCATTTCATTTTCAGAATATTAACAACTCTAGAATATTTAGGAAAACATAACCTTGGCTCATGGTGACTTTAAATTTTTTAAATGTAGAGAAGTAAATCCACAGATTTGGGTGGATTTCACTGGCCTTATAAGTTTTATAGTTTCTTTGAGGAAAAAAGAATGAATTCTTTTAATGTAAGCTGTACAAGGGCAGGGATCTTTATTTTGTACATTGATGTATCCATCCCTACAGCCTAGACCAGTGCCTGGTACATAGTAGGCATGCAATTATTTGTCTAAAAATAAATATGATAGTATAATAGCTATGTTTTACTAAAGCATTGAACTTCAAAAGATAAACTACATAGTAAAAATATAATTGATTACTGGTTTTCAACATGCTTTGGATTATAAAGCTAAGGGATCTTTATCCTTTTTATCCTTTCATCTTAATCCAATGCTACTAGAATTTTAGATTTCCAATTTTTTTCCATGTAGAAAAACACCTTAGATTTACCTTGTGAAAATGATCACCCTGTTCCACTTGAGAACCATGCTATTATTTGCAAAATGAGGGCCAAGCTAATAGTTTTTTGAGAGCTCTTCTAGAAGAATTCGTCCTCAAGAAAATATGGTTTGGTGTTTTGGGCCTTTTTTTTTTCTTTGTCAATAGGTAGATATCCTGTAATACATTAGATGTATTTTATATTTGCTCCTTTCTAGTTTGTGTATTTTTTTATTATACTAATCAAAAGGTTTTTCTTTCTTTCTAGCTCTAATTTCATGTAAAACCGAAGTTCCAGAGCACAGAAGGTCATCACAAGCAAAAGTTATTAAAAACTCAGAAGTATGCTTTGATTTTCTTGCCGTTTTTATTTGCTTTATCACTTATTCCGTATCTGCCAAATGGCCACTGTTAAACTGACATTTGTGGAAAAATACTTTTAAATTAAGGTCAATACATGAGCCAGAGTGGATGATATTATAGGTTGAACATCCCTAATCTGAAAATCTGAAATCTGAAATGCTCTAAAATACAAAATTTATAAAAACACAAACGTGATACCACAAGTAGAAAATTCTACACCTGACACCTTTGCTTTCTGGTGGATTGATATACACAAACTTTGTTTTGTGTACCAAATTATTAAAAACATTCTATAAAATTACCTTCTAGCTATGTATATAAGGTATATGTGAAACATAAGTGAATTCTATGTTTAGACTTGGGTCTCATTTTATATATATATATATATGCAAATATTCCACAGTCTGAAATCTGAAATACACTTCTGTTTCTGAGCATTTTGGATAAGAGGGACTCAACCTGTACTTACATATTCGCTGTTGTTAGAAATTTTTAAGTTGCCATTTTGCAATGAATCTAGATCTGTTGTTGTCACTTTGCAGAGCCTTATACCAAAGAGTAAAGTCTCAGTGTTCAAAATACAGAACTCTTTCATATTATGGCTACCTGATTGCATCTATATTCCAAGGTGGATCTTTTTTTTTGTACATTCAAAGCAATTCTTACAAAATAAGCTTTGGGAATACGTTTAGGACTGCTTTTAGTGCTAAAACTCTAACCTCTCAGTAGTTATGTAGAACTTTTAAATATTTGATACAGAAGCTTTTGTGTCAGATTGTCTAATGATGACTTTTCATGCTTCCATGTGCCTTATTGTGGCTGAGGTATTGCTGTGATGAAACAAAATATGTTTAAAAGTAAAAACATCCAAGTACATAACCCTTTTGATAAAGCACCTTTGTACCTGGATATATCACACTATTTTCATAGGATGTGTTACATGCTTGTTTAAAACGCTTATCTTTCAGGGAAGATTAATATGGCTAATCATTTTATTAAGAATATTTTTTAAGAAAATAACTATATGAACATCTGAACACTAAAATTTAGGTAATTCATATTTCAAGGACTATCTGCATTTAGTGCCTTAGTATTCTCAGAACATTTTAATGCTTTCTAACATTTTCTTAACAGTCATAGGTATATACATTTGCATTTTTTGCACTTGAATATTCTAAATAAAGCTGACATTTACACTTGACAAATAAACTCTATTTCCATATTTACTAAAATGTGTTTAAATTATTTTAATTTTTCTTTTTGCAAACTATTGTTTTAAGAAACGTTTTCTCAAAATCAATTCATTTAATTATATATTTGAATTAGTGTAAGATGAGGAGGTAATTTACCAGTATCTTCAGACAACAAAAAATTTTAGTTAGTCTATGTCATGTTCTGATTAATCATGAAGTTGTACGAGTTGTAAATAAAACTTTTCATTTCATAGCACAATTTTGTACATAAATGATAAATTATGTATCATTTCTGCATGTAAAATTGACAGTTATCTCTCAGCCTTTTAAAACTTTAGTAGTTTAAGTTGTACGTGTGTCACGGAATAAGCTCTGAAATTTCTTCTCAAATTCAGCAATAGCAGGTTCTGATAGTTGGGGAGCCCCTGAGACTAAGTGCCAGTGTCTAGCAGACCCCTCAGTGACGCACCTGGGAGTGCTTGTTACACATATACAGTGTGGCCACGGTAGGCCAAGCTGAATATAAAGCAGCTCTCCTTAACTCTAATAATTTTACATTAAAGGGCTAGGTTGGTTGTTGGTATGCTAAACAAAGTTGTTTATCAAGTTTAGTGGTTCTCAACCTTCCTAATGCCACAGCCCTTTAATACAGCTCCTGTGGTCGCAATCCACAGGTTGAGAACCGCCGATCTAGTTGAAAAGAACTTAAAGGATACCTGTCTAAGACTTGACTTCATGGCAGGGCAATCATTTTGTCCTTTTCATGACTTTTCTGTGAGAAAGGCTCATCCCTGCTTCAACCATCATGAAATTTTTTATTTCATGTATTTGGAATTTCATGTAAGATTTTATTTTAAAAGAGTTGCTCTATAAAAAAAAAATAATTACACTACAAAGTTCAAGTTTTTTTTTTTTTTTTTTAGTATGTTACAAAGCTCTAATTTATTCTCTGTTATTCAGGCACAAGCTTTTAGAAAATGAGTTATTATCCACTGATGCTTAAATTAATCAATTTCCTGGGAACAAAATAGTCACATTTTGTTTAAAGTTTTTTTCATTAAGCATGTGAAACCATTGCCTCTAAGAGCTGTTAATCTTTGTACGTGTGCCTTTGATTCTTAAAGCTCTTTCACAGACTATGGTTTGAGCTTTCAAAACAACACAAAGGAAGAAACGTCATACGAATTATCCCTATTTTGAAGATGAACTCAGTTTAGGCCCCATTTTCCCATTGTGCTAGGAAATGGGGACCCAGGTGAGTCAGGAATCCACGTCATCCTGGGACAGCCAGGCTAGTAACAATGGGTGAGCAGATGCAGGGCTGGTCTCTATCCACAGAGCACAGGAGCTCATCTAGGGCAGTGATGGAGCCTTGAAGAATTGGAATATCTTGTCCCTTGTATGAAAGGAGCAGGCAGACCAGGGACAAGGGACAGCACGTTGTCCATAAGACTTGCGTATGCTGGAAAGTAGGTGAACACCAGCAGAGTCCAGGGGAGGAGAGGGTGCTGCGAAGGGTGTGGTAGGAGCAGGTAAGACCAGGTCGGAGAGAATTCATAAACCCAGTCTGGCAGGCAGGTGGAGACATTGAAAGGTTTATCTTTTCTAGGAAGGAAGTATTGGGGGGAGGCGGGGAGGCAGGTTGACTCTTCAGAAACAGAGTCACCTAAGGAGTGTTTAAAAAATACTGATGCAGGCTTGGTGCCTGTAGCTCAAGTGGCTAGGGCGCCAGCCACATATACCAGAGCTGGTGGGTTTGAATCCAGCCAGGGCCTGCCAAACAACAATGACAACTACAACTTAAATAGCTGGGTGTTGTGGCAGACAACTGTAGTCCCAGCTACTTGGGAGGCTGAGGCAAGAGAATTGCTGAAGCCCAAGAGTTTGAGGTTGCTGTGAGCTGTGACACCATGGCACTCTACCCAGAGGCGCTAGCTTGAGACTCTGTCTCAAAAAAGAAAAAAAAAATGCTGATGCAGAAAGAAGTGTATAATGGTGAAAATGGTAGCTATAGTGGTAAATCCAAATGAATAATGAGTGCATAAAGCAATTATACTGTCTTATGGAGTTGAAAACATATAGCAAGTTAAAATACAATATTGGCATAAAAGTTGAGGGTGGAGTAATTGCACGATCTCATGTTACTGTATGAACTGGGAAGAGGATAACAGGTCCTAGACCACCAGGTAAATCCAAGGTGCATGTTGAAATTCCTGGGTAACCACTGAACTTGAAGTGTGTAAATTTCAGGCTAACAGAAGGAAAACTGGTGAAACAAAAAATGATGATCTAGAACAAGGCAAGAAAGTAGAGGAAATAGAATGGTATGGTGAACAGAAAGCATGTAGTAATATGGTAGATTAGACCCAAACAGATAAGTAATTACAGTAGAACCTCTGTAAATTGACCACCCAAGGGACTATAACAAACTGGTTAACATACAGAGGTGGTCAACATAAGGAACTTCCATTGACTACCTGTGGTCCATGTCTGGTCTCTGAAAATTAGGTCAACTTAAGGAGGTGGTCAACTATGGAGGTTGCATAGTACTTACTTTCAGGGAACTTGTTCTGCTTAGTATACTGTACAACCTAGCAATCCAAGTCCTGGAAATGTATTCAAGAGAAATAAAAACGTTTGTCTCTCAAGGACCTGTCTGAATGTTTATAGCATCTTTCTCATAATCTGTTAAAACCCCAAAGAACCCAAATGTCCATCACCTGGTGAATGCACAAGGAAGTTGTGGTTCACTCATCCAGGAGGAAAGGAACAAGCTACTGACACATGGAAAACATGGAGAAATCCCAAATGTATAACACTAAGTCAAGCCAGACGCAAAAGTCTACATGCCTCCATTTATGTGATCATTTTTTTCTTTTAATTTTAAAAATCCTTTGGCTTTTTCTCTTTTTAAATTTCAGAATATTGTGGGGGTACACAAGCTTTTGTTACATAGTTCACTTTTGTACATTTTAAGTCAGAGTTAGAAGTGTGCCCTTCACCTAGAAAGTGTGCAGTGTAACGTGCACCTTCTTGAATTTTGATGAGTTTTGCTTGCATATACGCACACAGGTTATGTGACTATTTTTTCAAAGCAAAACTACAGGGACAGACGTCAGCTGTGGTTGCCAAGCCTGCCGTGCTGACTTCATAGTATACAATGAAACCTTTCAGAGTGGTGGAAATATTCCGTGTTGTTACTGTGGTGGTAGTTAACGAGGCTGCAAGCATTTGTAAAAAAGAACTGTACACCTAAAACATTTATACTATGTAAATTATACCTTAATAAATCTGGTATTTTCCTTAACAAATGAAAAGGCACAAGCAAGGAGAATAGAAGAAAGATGGTATCAGCACTACAATCCAGCAGACATTAAGACTTTGTCGGTAAATTTCTCTACAAAGAAAAAAATACAGAGGAAATGACAAATGCATTTTAAAAACTAGCTTACTGGTGGACAAATTAATAGTAAACCTCATAGCAAACAAAAGTCCATCATTTAAATCCCCATAAAAGTTAGGCTGAGACATTTAAGAAGAAAACCAGTCTTTACAAGCTCTTCTTGTGGTCAGTAAATGGTGGCCTTGCCCAAAGACCTCAAGACCTTGTCCTGGACCCTAAATAGGTCACCTTGCCTGGCAAAAGGGGCTTTGCAGGCAGGGTTAAGATTACAGATCTCAGAAGGTTACAGACCTTGGATAATCCTGGCCGGTCTGGGAGGTTAAGTCTTTGAAAGCTGAGCCTTTCCCTGTGAGAAGACGGGGAATGTGGGAATGCAGGGGCCTCTAGAAGCCCA